CCCCCGTATATTTCTCTCTAAAGAAATAATTTGAAGGAAGAAATGTCAAGTAATGCTTTAAAGTAATTTGAAATTGTGCTTGAATTTTCGGGAGATCTCAAGGGAAAATATTAGCTACAATATTTACAATGCCCTCACAAACTCAACTGAGAGAAGATAGATCATGCATATTTACTTCCCTTTACTTTTTTTTGGTGTATCTTATTCCCATCTTCAGAAAAACCTTTGGAGCATTGAGAAAAGGAGTAAAACATAATAATATTCTTCATTTGGATACATTTGGCTAGCAGTTTTTGTTAGAAAAATTAGAGTTTGTTACGCAAAAAGTAACAACTCCGGAACCCAATATCTCCTCAAAACTTTTTATGTAGGCCTAGCTCTAGTCAAATCAAACCTAAGTTGCTCGGCACAAAGCATGGTTACGTAAATGTAACATTTGAACGTGTTTACTGGCTTGTGCTAACAAAGGAGAAAATATAATGATTTATACCAGATGTGTAATTTGTACTCGAAAATACGAAACAACGCTCAAGACGGCGTAACATTTAATAACCTGTATTTGTTTTACATAACTTTAAAAAACACCTTTTAGTTCGTTTCGATAGAAAAAAGAACTTGCAAAACAATCGTATTTGGCCAGCTCATCAGCATTAGTTTTCAGTGTTAGAAAAGTCTAAAATTAAACAAATTTAAAAAAAAAGATCGTTCAGAGAAAGTTATTGACAACTTTCTGACACACTGCACAGTCTATGGTCAGAATAAACAACAACAAAAAACGTTTAACTTTGCGTCCATGGGCTTCATCTCGTGGTCAGAACAGTTTTCAAGCAACAACAACAACAACAACAACAACAACAACAACAACAACAACAACAACAACAACAACGAAACAACAGCAATGACAATAGCAGTAACAACAGCAACAACAACAATAATAACAAAGCAACAACAACAACAACAACAACAACAACAACAACAACAACAACAACAACAACAACAACAACAACAACAAAAATAAAAGCAACTGCAGCAACAAAAATATCAAGCTTTTTCTTTTAAAAAGTGTATCCAAGTTTGTCGAAAGGTGATGATTGTACAACGGTACACCAACAATACACCACGCAATTACTGCAGGATACTTTTTGCTGACTTTTCAACCGCCTTCAACACAATCCAACCTCACATAATGGTTTCAAAATGCGCTGACATGAACTTAAGCAAGAAAATTATAGTCTTGATGTTTTAGTTTTTGACCAATCGCTTTCAATATGTAAAATCAAACACCGTAAAATCCGACCTTATATTATTCACGAACACAGGTGCCCCGTGTTTGTTTAATCTGTTCTATCTTGTTTTAAGCTCTACGCCAACAATTGTAGGTCTACTTTTAATAACAAACACATCAAACTGATTAAATTTGCGGATGATTCCACTCTCCATGGATATATAATAATGAGTGAGAATGGATACAGGGGCACAGTAAATACATTTTTTACAACTTTGTGTGATAACCACTTCCTTTTACAGAACATTTGAAAAGAATGGGTTAATTATAAACTTTAGAGTTTAAAAATAAAAAGATAATCTGCAACGACTATAAATTAAAGATAAGGAAGTTGAGGTTGTCAACGCCTACAAGTTATATCTTGGAATAACCAGCGACAGCAAGCTTGACTGCCATCCGCACACTGCTCTTGTGTGTAAAAGATTAAATTAAAGATTGTTCTTTATGGGAAATAATTATCAAAGTTTTAATATTGATAATTATAAGATTATGTCTCATTTTTACCATTCCGTGATCGAAAGGGTGTTGCTGTTTTGTATTTGCTACTGGGCTGGAAACTGTTGGCTGGAAGATAAAGAAAAATTTAACCGAATCATAAAGAAAGCCATAAAGATCTCCGGATATGAGTTTGATAGATCTGATGAAAAGACTGGGTTCATTATAAACTTTAGAGTTTAAAAATAATAAGATAATCTGCAACGACTATAAAATCACAAGTATATACAAAACAATTAGCAGCTTGTTAAACAACCTTCCCACACAAATTTCAAGATCTCGCAGCAGGAGATACATACCACAAAGAACCAATAAAGGAAGATACAAAAGAACTTTTCAGATGCCATAAAGCTGCTGTCGAAATGGATATTATTATATTGATTTTTATCTACACACATAAAATATTATACCAATAAATCTATAATAATATAACTTCCAAAATATGTGATAAATTCCTGCATGTTGTTTGAAAGATGCATCTGATGTGACGTGTTGTGTTATTGTCAGCTTTGTTTATTTCTTCATATTGAAATTATTTTAGGAAAGTAATGTACAATTTAAATTCTATATACATGTTTTTATCCACTCCTTTGAAGCCACAAAAAATTCCCACAGGGACAATAAAATATAATCTTATCTTAATGTTTGTTTTTTATAGCGCTC